ATGTATCAATGACATTGTCTGCACAAGTTATCAACAAGGAGATTTAAATATGAAACTTTTCACATCAAACGTTATATTGTCAACATTACTTGTACTGATGATTCATTACATTATATTTACAGCACATAAACAATGTTGCCTAATACTGTAGATTGCACAATGATCAGTACAATTTTTGACCACACTGCTTGGTGATGCATGGTGATACGTTACATTGTCAATGCATCTCATTGCAATACTCACCATGACGAGGCAACAGCAGGCATGACGATAAGTCTAGAAAACATTGCTCCTACAGTTTGGAATAAAGAACATGAACGAACCAATTTCCTTCTCCATAGCAACGCTGGCTTGAAGGAGAAAAATAGCCTCCGGTGTACAGTAAAGCTATTATGCACTGGTATAACCATAATGTATTAAATACAATGTATCCACCAAACCACCCCTGTAAATTCTGCATCCATAGCTCTCAAGATATCACTGATTCACCTTCATTAATACACTTCAATTATTAGGATGGGTACATAGCTTTTAAATTACAACCATAAAATACAGACTTTACAATTTCAATGCTCTAAAGTACATGGTCCTAAATAAATGGATATTTAGGAAGAGGGAACAATTTGAAGGCAGCAATAAGGGCGTGCATATTGTATGATCAAAAAACCTAAGGCCTAATTGTGCTTAAGGAAAGCCAAATTGGTAGGTGATTTACAGGCTAAATGAAATTTGTTGTGCTTGCCGCAAAGGTGGGTGAAATCATCTATTGTGAGATACTGTTTTGCTTTCATGCAAATGAGCAAAAGAGCACCTTCAAAACATCAATTGGATAGAAGAGTAATTTTCTCTCAGACTTGTTTACTGCTTATTCTTAATTGAACTCAAGAAGTGTGAAACCATCCCTTGAGATTTAATTAATTACATTGTTCGTATGGTTTTGCTCCAACCACCTGCCAGTATTAGAGGGGCTGAGAAATCACAGAAGCAGCCAGATGTAATCAGTGGCTTTGCGTGACTGTATCATTATCTTACAGTCTTGAGGGACAAGGAGTGGCAGATCTTTATCGAATTTGGTGTTTCAAAAGGGGGGAAATAGAGCCCTGACCTCAATAACAAATGCTGCATAACAATTTAAGTTTTTGCATTCATGCTTTGTTCATTTATTGTTCATGGTGTTTTGTTGTTACATAGGTCAGAAATAAGCCATTCTTTGTAGAGTTGAAAATACAGTTCTAAAGATAAGACCCCAGTAGGAAAATGAGCCTAGGATGCACAAACTTGACCAATCACTTCCTGTTTTACAGTGTGGAACAGATCAACAACCTGAGAGAGATTCAAGCCATGCGGAGGCTTCATCCTCATGCAAATGTCATAGAGTTGATAGAAGTCATATTGTAAGTATAGAGAAACCTGTAATATCTATCATAGACAGATAGAATCATTCAAACATTCTGTAGTATGTTGTGATGTTATCTGTAATTTCAATTCCTTACATTTTAGTTAAAGCTTACATGTTATTTTGTAGACTACAGTACAGCAGTAATTATTACTAATTAAATAAATGATCTGAACAGACTTTTCTTCTGTTGTTACAGTGACAAGAAAACAGGGACATTAGCTTTGGTATGCGAGCTCATGGACATGAACATCTATGAACTCATCAGAGGTGGGTCTCCCTCATCTTTCTTCCTATGACACAATATCCACTATATCATATATCACAGTAAAAGGATTGACCTTTAAAACAACTGGCTTTGGATGTCTGATCTTTGGTGATATTTATGTTGAACATATGATAGATTGTGTTTTCTAAACACAGCCATGGGTTTCTTTGTAACGTGTGACTGTCTCCTAGAGAATAGCATGGGTTGTGACTTTTAAGGCTAGTTCATTCATTCTAAAGGAGGTAAACTGATATCATCCAAATGTTATCTGATAAATGACTCTATTTGTGAATTCAATACATCTGACTGAAGAAGGATCATGCTTGCAATTACCCCACCTGTACATGTAGCTGTACTTGTATCTTACAATTACCCCATATTGATGGCTACCATCAGCAAATGCTCATGAATCAATATCTCCATTGCACAAATGGTATTGAAGTATGATGGTGCCTGACCTTTACAGGTACAGTGTACGTTCCATTATTTTCATCTGAGTTTGATGTACAAGGATCCATTCCATTTTTTAGATGGAGAGTCCAGGTTATAACTGTCTGTCCCAGTAACATTGTCCATTGGATTTCCTGCAGATGTAAGGCAGTTAGAATAGGTTGCTAGGGGACTGTGGAGTGGGAATTTATGCCCAGAAGCACTCTATGCTATAGATGGTAATCTGTTATTGTCAAATGTCAGTGGAAATGAGGTGTGTATGGCATGTATTATTACTGCCAGCTCCTGCCTGTTCATGGAACATATCTTTTTCCTATACCTGGACTCCAAGGCCTGTTAATCTGGGTTTGGTCTCTCAAGTTGATTGTCAGTGATTCAACACTGTTAGTTGCGCTTATTGTTCTTTTCATTTCTACAGTTATTAATATGCCTGAAATGCAATAGAGCTAAGTGCTTGTAAAAAATAACATTTACAATTGTTAGTGCAGCCATGCGTGATAGAAGGGAAAGACAAGATGACTAGTGAATTCAGTCGGTCAGATTTTCATTGTTGTTGCTCATGTGTCAAAATAAAGCTTCTCCCCAGGATGTGGTCCCTCCTGACAGGTGTATTGGAAAAGTGCCAAAGCTTGAGTAGCCTAGCTTTGGCTGTCAGGACGTTCACCTTTGACATGTCAGGGTCCATTTCATCTGCCAAAAGGTCCCTGTTGTTTCTTGTCCCTTTCACAGTGTAGCTATGGGAATGTTAGCTTCGCCTGACAGTTATCACTTTACCTTGTGGCACGGTTGCCTGTATGGTGTGACGAATTGTTACACAACCTAGGTGTTAAAAGGGTTCACAGTTCTGAAGGCAACATGGAATGCCTCAGATCATGTGAGCAAATTGATTATTCTACTTCCCCACATCAACACCACTAGGGAACAGGGAGCTGGTGATGTATTATCCCCATTACAAAGTACACAGTAGCAGACTGGGTACCCCTAGAGGCCTGGGCTGGGGTATTGGATCAAAGATTAACTCTTGACCCTCTGCTAAGTCAGTAATAGTAGTTTAATGGTGGACCAAAGCCATGTTTGGACATCAACACTACTAGTACTGTCATATTCTTTTACTCCATTCTGGAAGCCTTTGAGCAACAATTATAAAAAGATCATTGGAGTAACAATAAAAGATCATTAAAATTCGTATGCATAAGTGCCATGCAGAATTTTCTTTTGTCTGTTTTTCAATTCATTCAGTTACTGATAGGTAAAATATATGGATGTCTGGAATGAATTTTTGGCTTTTCCAGGTCTTAATATAAATGTCAAGATGGTTATATTATATTTATAGAACCATTTTTTACTTAGTCTGAAAGTCTGAGAGGAGCCACATGTATAGTGACCAAAATCTAGAGATGGAAGATTGTTGTTATTAAACAATTTGTTGCGAGGCTATGTGTAAACAAACAAGACAATGATCCATTTAATACATGTCCAACCTTGTACAAATGCTACTGGTACATGTATCATTGATACAGCCAAGCAGATTTATCTTTTGTTTATGCTTCAAGTTCATGATATGCCATACAGTTGTCTAGTAACACTGGATGTGTTGTGGATACAGTACATTTTTGACATGAACTTCCACAATAAGGTACTAGTACCCAAGAGAATGTGTCCTTTTTGTATGTCAGGGCCATTGTTGCTCCACAATGAGATCAAAGTTAAGGTTTTACTCCTACATACTTATCAAGCTGGCTGTCGCCTCTGTCAGGCAGTAATACCTCTAAGATTTTAACCACTCCAGAGGTGCATGCTTGAGAGGCCAGGCTGCTCTGGTGATATTTCCACTGCCCCTGGCAACATTTGTATGCCATCTCTGCAAGGGTCTGACCAAAGTTTGATTGGGGTTTACCGTCATGTATTAGCATGGAAAACACCATGTTTGAACAAGCCCTAACGTTATAATTATATATTTTGTTTGATTGATTGAAACTCAATATCAATATATACAATCTGTGGTGTTCATAGTCAACAAAATTTCTAAAATTAGCTACCGTTAATGATGATATTGACAAAATCTCACATTTTCAGCTATTAAATAAACAGTGCCCAAGTGTTGTGTATTTATACTTTGTGTTTATGTAGTGGTATATGTCAGTGTTTTGGCAATGCTACAGTAATGATTACTTTACCTACATAGCACACAAATCAACTTGTTTTTAGTTTTAGTTGGCAAAATTATGTCTTATTTTTAAAACATGTTGACTATTTCAGATGATGTAATTAATATTCTTCAGAGAATACCCACCGACAGTATACACACATTTATTTACAAGCAGATTCAATATTTGTTCTAATCAAACAACACCTTTGATAGCAGTTCAGAGGAACAGAGGAATGTGTGATAAAGCTACTGTTTTGATAAGTGTTCATGCTGAGGATCAAAGTGTCAAAAGGCATTGCCATGCAGATACAGGTATGCATTATTTGCCCGGCCAGGTAGTCCCATGGATAGCCATGTTTTTGTTGGCACTTCTATAATATGTAACCACCTGGATATGTGGTATTACGGAGCTGAATGATGGCAGCACTGAACATGTCCTAAGAATACAAATACAAAGGTTGCCTTCCATTTCCATGGATGCATCTGGGATTTCTAGTTTTGTGCAGTGTCAAAAATGTTCCTTTGCTTGGGTTGAGATCAACCCTCCAAGAATTGATCTTTCTGGGATGTGTCCTGGTTCTCATTGTTTTATTCTACTGCACCATTTTGTTTAACAATCAACAACCACGAGGAAGTCTTGACCTAAAGGTCTTGGTGTAAAAATAATTCAGTGCAGCCAAGGTTAACTAGTTTTCTTTGCATCCTTACAGAATGACTTCGGTGCCATATGCACAACAAGCATTAGGAAATCCCATCATGGTTTTCAAAATTGAATGTTCAGAATTAGAAATCCTATTACTGGTACAGTGCTCACCAACTATTTGCATCACTGACATTGGCATAAACCTGGGATCTGCATAAAATTCTGAAAACCCAAACCATTTCCCATTCACTACATTATAAATTGCATGGCATAATTGCATGAGCTGTTATGACTTTAACCTGATATTGGACTAAAATATTTCCAGGTCAATGGCACACTGACCCAGAAGTACGTGAAAGAAATACATGTAATTTGTTGCGCATCAGCAAATCTGCATGAAGTCCATTGTTATTCATTCATTATCACCCCTGCACCCTCCATTCTCTCCATTGTCATACACTTTCTCTGTTGTCACTTCCTTCTGGACAGGTGAGAACCCCCAATCACTGATTGTGTGAAAAGAAGTCCTTTGTTCCTTTTTGGTGTCCTTGATTGGACTGTTGTTTTAGGTTTGGTAAGCTTTTGCCCAACACTATGAAGGTGGAATGTGTCTGATCTTCTATCTCCATGTTAGCCCTGTTCATTATGAGTTTCTGAATGCGACTTGAAGATTAGAATATGGTACATGTATGTAGTTGTGGGTGAAAGTGAGTATATAAATACCAATAACATCATGTTTGTGGTTGTTTCAATTGGCCCCAGCCCAGTATCATCCATAACCAACTGATGACCTCCCCTCCCTGTCGGTCGTGTGGACTCTCCTAAGGTTATTGGACTAAACCTGTTATAGGAATAAAATTCCCTGACAAATCGTTCATGCAAATAACAGGAGAGCACTGTAGTACCAATTGTACACTTTTCCCTTCATGTTAGGACATTGAAACTACCCTTTCTTGTCACCCACAGAGAGGTAGATCTAATATTACACTATAGCCTAATGTTATTGTCACCTAACACTTGCACTTTATTTTGCTTCCTGATTTCTGTTTTTAGTATAAACCTTGTGAGACAAAGTCAGGTGGGAGATTAGGGTCATGGAAACAATATCGGCTTCCGTGATTGGTTACAGTCTGCCCTTTAAGGACCTCAGGGTGTCGTTGCAGAATGGCGTCTTCATCGCTATGGTGTTACAGCTAGGTGGGGTGGTGGCTTTTGTCCTCCTGTAGAAGTTTATTTGCCAACTTGCCTCAAGCGTGCACAGATTCACTGTTGAGCCTTGTGTTTTGGAAATCTTGGCGGCTGTTGCTGTTGTACTCAGAGGGTTTCTCCTGAGTAAAAAGTCGCCCTCTTCAAGTTTCTCTGGCAAACAAGGCAAACTGCTTGGGTGCTACAGTGGCCATGACAGAAGTAGAATGCCAGGGCCGTTTTTGTGGCCTCAGCTTTGTTCCCATAGTAACGGTAGTGAGGGCATTAGTATACAGTGATCCATCACAGGCTTACTAACAGCAGCGCAGTGCCTATCTGCTTCAAACACCTTATACGGGTTCTTTAGGGTTTCACTCAATTGTTTTATTCTTGGGTATTGTTTATTTTGATTCATGTTTTTATAAAAATAGATGCTGATTTTCATTTGCTGTTTATCATCTTTACGGGAAATCACTTTCTCATACCTAAGAACCAAAAGTACCAGGTGTACTACTTAGAGAACACTTTTGTTTGGACAGACAGCTGTGCAAATGGAACTTCTGTTCCAGTAGCTGAAGCACTTTGGTACATATCATTATTGAAACACTTCACTTCACAACACTTCAAATGTAGGGTTACCAGCTGGTACTAGCTTGTGACTTATTCTTAGGCCCGATTTAGACTAGAAACGCTTAAGGGGTTTTGGCCAGGGAAACGTTTCGGAACGGTTAACCGTTCCCGGTCTAAAGAGGAAAAAACGGTTTGTTATGGGTTTTCGCGGACCGTTTCCGAAAACCACCTCCATCGTGGTTTTCGACCGTTTCAGAACCCTTCAGCGGGGGGCCCGAAACGCTTTTTGCTAGGTCTAAAGACAAAGGGTTTCTTGAAACGGTAAACCAGGTCACATGTCATATGCTAATCACATGCTAATAAGCCCGCGCACGTCCATTATCTGGTAGATTCGCGCCATATTTGATTGTGTCCATTTTCGCCATTTTATAATGTATTTCTCGAATTTTCGTCATCCTTTACATCTGGAGGGATGGCAGAAGGCCAGGGGAGGGTCTGGACCCAAGATGAGACCCGCTGCTTGATCATCTTGTGGGCCGATCAAACTATACAATCCCGCTTGGAGACCTCGCGTAATAGGGAGGGCATACAGATGCTTGTGGACGGGCTGGCGGCTGAGGGGTATTTACGCACCACAAAGCAGGTTCAGGCGAAGTTCAAGGCCCTGAAACACAAGTATCGTAAGGCCAATGAGGCAAACCGTAGAAGTGGCTCGGGGAGGTTATCATAGGTCACTGTGGGTCAGAAACATCCTGCGCCACGGGCGGCCCGAAACACTTCCGCCTCTGTGTCTAAAGACGAACCGTTTTCTGTGGCGAAACGTTTCGTACCGTTTCGAAACGGTATACCGTTTCTAGTCTAAATCGGGCCTAAGTGAGAAATGGACCAGGTTTGGTCATGGAGTGTTAGACATGTACAAAAACATTGTAGATGTAGGATAGCAAAGGGATGATAGAAGAAAAGAAAACTGAAAGAAGAAAAGAAAAGATGATGAAATATGTCGACATGAAAAAAAAAGAATTGTACCCCATCATTTATGGAATCAAAACCTGTTATTCCATGTAGTGGTAAGGAAGAACTATTTTCCAGCTGATTACATTGACATCATTATTTTAGAGCTCCACATCCTGCCCCTGCCATTCAAGTAAAATTCATGTTGACCCATCCGTAGCCTAATGGTGTTACATATTCCGTACTGATGAGGTACTAATGGTAGGTTGAATGCTGTAATGGGTAATCCTTTACATTGTGTTTATGATGGGGTATATTCAGAACATTTCATTTTGCTCCACAATTTGACAGAACATCATCAATTTTCTACTGTTATGAGGTAGTGAGATGACATATCTGATGACAACCCAGGTGTCATGTGAAAGTTAGGATCTTGTTTAACCATTAGCATTTATGCTGTATCTATATATAACCTTGCTATTCAATTTCTTCTTTCCCCAGGCCACCTTCATTTGTATTCAAGTTACCCTTTTCTTCTTATTTCTTGCACAATAACTGGCTTCTTTTCACCACTTATATATGCTACTTATTTTATCCCTTAGATCATTAAAATCACATCCCTGTGCTAACTAGTATAGTTGACAAAATCCATATTTATCAGTCACGCCAGATTGACCATGAATAGCACTGGTAATTTCTAACCCCATGTTGCTAATTGCCTGCATCCTGCTCTTCAAAACAATCTCTTGTGGCTACCAAGTAGCTCCTCCTCCCTAATTTACCCCTGGTCTGTTCTATTATTATATTCAGAGGGGAATAAGTAGGCAGTTTTCTCATCTCAACCATTGAATTCTCTAGCCTCCTGTGCAGGCCCCGCGGCGGTGGAGAAGATTTTTTAACGCGTTGTTTTAATATAGCCGGCCATCCTACATAGCCGACGAGAGAAGGTTGCTTTCCGCCCACGGGGCCTGCTCCCATTCGGCAAGAAAAAAGGGAAATTAAAAATCACTTTAGACAAATTGTTATGGACTTGCGAAGTTTCCGCACCCCGGAGCGCCCTCCGCCAGCCGACAATGGCCGAGGCGCGGCGTTGTCACGCCCCCGTGGGCATGGCTGGACAACTTTCTAACGGTCAACGGGTTCACTGTGTGTTTCAAAAAAAAAAAAAATCTTACCGTGTTGCCTGGCTTGTCGATCGCCATGAACGCGAGGGAAAGAGGCGAGCTGGCGGCCAGACATCCGGGGATCTTCCCAATTGAGAAAGGGTCACATTTGCGATACTACCGGTATCAATTTTTGCGATCTCATATGCCCCCCTCCCCCTCTTACGATCCACTTTCGTGGGCTGAAGATCCGAAGTGTACTACTCGATAATATCGCTGATGAATTTCAACAAGTCGAATACTAGTAAATAAACACCTATATACATGTAACACGTTACAAGTTTTGGATTTTTTTGTTGTTGTTTCATTGGCCTGCCTTACGCGCTCTCGCTGCCGCAGATAATTTGCGGACGGGTGTGAATTACTCGTCGCGGGCATGTGAATTGCTCGTCGCGGGCATGTTAATGAGCCCTTTGAAAGGCTTTTCTAATCCCGATTTCCTTTTTTCTTGCCGAATGGGAGCAGGCCCCGTGGGCGGAAAGCAACCTTCTATCGGCGGCTATGTAGGATGGCCGGCTATATTAAAATAACGCGTTAAAAACTCTTCCCCACCGCCGCGGGGCCTGCACAGGAGGCTATGAATTCTCTATGTACCAAACAAAAAAACATTTTGTAAAACACGTGGAAAATTCAATGTCGCTCGCCTGTTCAAAACTGCTGTACAATATAATGTTAAACAGGGACTTTTAATAACAACACTGTTAACGGTAAATAGCTCGTAGTGTGTGCATATTCTGTTAGTGCTATATGCATCTTCTTTATACTACTATCAGTTTGAAAAAAAATATTACTTAATATATCAGTCCATAGTGGGAAAGGTCTTTTTTTTGATGCCCGGGAATATCCAACTGTTTGTTGAGCTACATCTTGTGTCATGGATATATGCTAAGCCAAGAACCAGTCTTATTACATATCGACACTGAACTCCATCACAATTCCATACAAAAAGATTTAGATGTTCACTGCCATATTGTTACATGCATCTTATGAATATTTTATATCTCATAGCAACACAGTATGGTATACTGACTTGAACGCTCCTTGTGCACAATCAAGGCATCATATGTATTGTGGTAATATGTTTGTTATGGGCCACACCTTTAGACCTTAAACCTTTAAAGAGTCATCTGTGATTTGTCTACTGTCAAAGAACCTGACAATGACTGATTCTGTAGGATATGAAATGTGGCATCTGTAGTTTTATGAGTCAATGTATACCCAGAGGGTCATTTCTTCTATTGTTTTATGTATTGTTTCAACTTCAGAGCTTTGACTGCAATACAATAACACCAGATGCACTTTAGATATTAACAGCAGCAAGGTATTGTACCAAGAACATATGTGATGCGAGTAGCCATCACTAGTTTTGACATGCTTTATCATATCTATCAATATGCATACTTCTAGTGCTTAGAAATGTTGATAACACCATAATGAAAGATCGTATACTACTAATTTGAGTTGTTAGCATTGAAACATACCCCATCAAGGGTACCTTGTAATTACAGTGTACATGATTAACATTCTCATGGTGTAGCCATGTATCCTAAATGTGCTTTCTGGTAGTAGCTTTTGAAGTCCCTACCATGCAGGAGTTTTAATGAGGTGAAGATCCCAGCCATTTTTCTGTTTGATCAATCAATTTTTTAATAGCTGTATGCATTTCTTTGACTACAGGTAGAAGACATTACCTTCCTGAGCTGAAAGTCAAGAACTACATGTACCAATTGTGCAAATCCTTAGACCATATGCATAGGTAAGTGTATGTATTACTGGTAGTCCTGTTTATCATTTGAAAGATTATGCCATCGACACCAACCATGCAAATTACAAAGTTTGCATTTTGATATATTGGGTGATTGCTTATTTCATACTAATTCAATTTCTTATTTCTGTTTCAGAAATGGCATTTTTCATAGAGATGTGAAGCCAGAAAATATTCTAGTTAGGGTAAGTATTATAGTTTGTAATATGTAGGGAGCACTTTCAGTAGCAACATTTTCCAGTGTCATATGAATCTGGAAGAGGGAATGAACCCTTAACTTAACGTTGAATGCAGCCTTCATATTTATTATATGTGAATTATGCTAGAAAGTGAAACATCAGTATATTGTAGCTGTCAGGTACAGCAAATATTCCTCAAACATAGATTCAAAATTGTATTTGCAATATCTGAAATATCCTTTACAATGTGTATAGATGGCAATGACCAACTGATGAGGTGTTACAACAATGTATGTACATTGTGTGTAATATACTGCTCATACAATTTCCTATATACACATGGTAAGGAGCTCAAGAATCTTCACATATGTTTGGTGTAGTCCAGGAAAATTAGTCAGGAAAGGCTGCAATTAAGACTGCCAGCTATCTTCTCCTGACAAACATATTCCTTAAGAACCTTAAAGCTAAATGCACCTACGGTACTTGTGTTTCTTTTTTCACAGATAGTAACAATCAGACAAGCCAGCTAACATGTGATCATAGAAGTTTTCACCACCAGAAGCAACATAATTGTCTCCAAGATATATAGAAGATAATCTGACATTTGATTACTGCCAGTACTGGTCTATACTGCACTCCACTCCCATATGCATGACTAACAAAGTGCCATAATGCATGCTTGCAGTACTTTCTGTTGTGCTTGTGTCGAAGCCTATATTGTCAACTCATTCTCAGGCTTTCAGAAAGCTTGTAGATGTTGACTTTTGTCTTAACCTTGTCTTTCATGTGACAGCTGAGTCGCAGAAGGGATGGGGTTCCTCAGGTATATACTCAACTCTCAGTTCCCTCTGCCTAACTCTACAAGTCATGGTGAAGCCATGTAGGCATCTAGTTAGGGAAGACTTGAACAGTAGACTAGTCAAATATACAGTAGATTGGATTACTGGACTATTGAACCGGGTAGACTGCTTCTAACCGCATTAGGTAGCGTTATGTGCAGCAAAAGTAGGGCCACACCAATTTAGTAATAGTCTCATTTCTCCGATTTTTTTTTCTAAAAATGCTGGAGTATTAAATGGCAAAGGAACAAGAAAGTTTATTATGGGATATAAAATGAGAGGATTTTTAAAACAGTATTCATAGTTATGTATGTGCAAAATAGTAAAAATTGTATTCCATTTTTCTAATAACTTGGAGAGTAAACGACTCAAAAGGATTTTACAGAGACTGATGTGTCAAGAAACTGATAAGTATTTAACCTTTGACAAACCCTCAACTGCCCTGGTCCTGGATTAGCAATTTAATTTTACTTTTGAGCAGAAGCGTTTCAAAGACTGGTCAGAGAAATAACAATTTTGAAACTAAATTTGTGTGGTCATCTAGAACAAAATATTAACTCTGTTAGAATGTAGTATGCAGAAATAGTGACTAAAAGTAGAATTAGGAAATGGTAAGTTGAGTGTTGCATTTCACCTGTAATCTACTAGGAGGCATTGTTGTAATGCATGACAAATAATTTCAATGATGCATCTGACAAATCATACATTTATGGATTGTGCAAGTTTTCAATGGCTGTCATCATCTTCTTTTTTCAAACATAACTTTCACATGTAGTACTACTTGGAAACATTAACAATCTGGAGTAATGATTGTCCCTGTTGACCAACTAACAAATTCAGTAAGGAAAATGAAAAGGTCAAAATGTCTTAAAGGTTGAGAAACTCAAAATAATCACTTCAAGAAAAATATGATTCTTAAGGTTTGCAGATTTGCTGGTAACATGCAAGCTGTGTGGATTATACAACATCCTAAAAAATGAATTTCATCATTGTTGGTGTGTGAAATTTCCTATCCTATGACATACCAACCTGAGGGGATCATTCTTGAATTGTAATGGTTGGATTCAATCATAGATTTTTCCATCAAAGATTATTTTCTGCTTGCTTGTGGTCAGGAAAGAGAAATGTTGATTGAGCTGAAATTCAATTGTCAAAGATTTTACTGCCCCCCGCCTGATATGTGACAGAACTGTGTTAACTATGTTAACTATATGAGGACAGAATATAGCACGATGTTCCTGTACACCTTCCCCTGAGGGATTACCTTGATAGCTTCACCAGATGACTTATGGTGCACTGTTAATCTCCACAAAGCACATTTCTGTGACTTTACCCAATTCATTCTCTCTCCTCCCATCCCGTGTTTGTACCATCTTTCTTTATCTCCTCTATATTCCTGCACTCTTCTCCATCCCCATATGTTGGATAAAACATTTAATACTTGGTTGTTCCTTCCTCTCCTTCAGGATGACCTATTAAAATTAGCCGATTTTGGATCCTGTAGAAGTGTCTACTCCAAACAGCCATACACAGAATACATCTCAACGAGATGGTGAGTAAACAGGCAGCCTTCTTTCCATGACAAAAAGAGCACTAAACAAAACAACAAACTCAGTGGGCCAGAGAGAGGCAGGTCATTAGCAAGCTTCTTTGGTGGCAGTAACAGGAGAAGTCTCCAAAGAAACCATTAAGCTGGTGTGTTACGCAGAAAGGCAGTTATACCGGCTATCATATACAGGTACAATGTACCAACATCAAGTCAAGATGAAGAAATATCTCAAACATTCACTTCATGTCTGGCCTACGTGACAACCACAGCTCTGAACGAGTTTATTGAACTGCTGAACATTCCTTGTTTCATTGTAATATATACTTATTACTGGTATACAGACAATTGTGGCTAATTGACAGCACTGAGACATGCAAGTGGTTTAATTGATATGGATCTGTTTTTGTGGCCCTTTCAACATATTTTGTCTAGGATTAGGGGCTTTTTTACATGTAAGCCAGACAGGTTGCTACCTCATTAACCTTCGCTTGTTTGGCTATCAAGTGAATAATATTGGTTGGATGATTGACAGATTGTGAAGATGTGAGAAATTTGAATCTAACATTTTATCAGTCTGTGGCATTAATCAGCAGAGCACTAAATTTATTAACAATAATCATGAATTTCAGCGATTTTTGTATATGTATCTTAACGATGACGAAAAAAAATCATGATTCTCATACTACAAAAGTATGTAAGAAAAGGCTGCATAGTATATACCTTCCACATTTCAGCACTGATGTGACATAAGTTGTCAATTCTGATGAAAAAACATTCAGGAGAGATGTATAGATGTACTTGGAGGTAAAAGATGAAGGAAAGTTGCAACATTAAAACCTTGTGTACATGGTGCTGAACTGCCATCCGTTGATACATGTAGCTTGTTTAGAAATGAAAAAAGATGCAAATACTGAAAATCATGGATTTTTTTTCATTTTAGTAGATATAAAGAAAATTTCTATAAACATATCCTATTTGATACAAATTTATAACCACAGGACAAATAGTGAACCCAGCACAGAAAACGTTAATGAAATATGAATTCGTATCTGATATACATTGCAAAATTTTGCACCATATTGAAAAGGTTGGAAACATACAGCAATCAATCAATTAATCCAGGATTCTAGATATCTGATCTGTAGAGGAGTAATAGATTGTGTTATGATAATATCTCAAACTGTGTATAATATCTCACTCATATTAAAATGAGTGCTAAGTGATGGGACTGAATGGTGATGTGCTGGTGTGACGGCCGTTCAGTGCCGACCCAGCGACCTCACCATGCAGTAACTGCTGGAGGTGTAGTCAAAGAGATATAGTGAGACACTTGCAGTCTGCGCTATTCCAGCTAAAAGCACATAGCAAAATCCTTTGAGTGCCTAGTTTCACATGTACAATGCTTTAGAAATTTGATATATGTTGGGCAATGGTAGTTGTGGGACTTCAGGGACCTCTTAATACATGATCAGCAAGTAGGAAGAAGTAAAGGGAGTGACTATCTTTTGCAGGTACCGAGCTCCTGAATGCCTGTTGACAGATGGGTACTACAGCTATAAGATGGACCTCTGGAGCGCAGGCTGTGTCTTCTTTGAGATTATGAGGTACATATTCTTGAAATGGTCCAGGCAGCACTAAAAGAAACAACAGGAAATCTCTCTTGAAATATGCTCTGCTCTTCAATAAAAATCAAATGCCACTTTCTGTATTATATGTACATTGTATATCAAGTGCTTGTGTCCTCTGCGAAGTTTTAATCAGAACCCACAGTCAAAAAGCTTTGTGCTTTAAGGGGGCTACCGTATCTTGAATATCAAAGTTCAAGTCATCTACCAGTCGTTAGGAACAGCAAACAAGAATCCTACACAAATGGTGTTTTGTCCCTTCACATTTGTGCTAAAAGATACCTGTTGTGTTGCAGCTTGCACCCCCTGTTCCCAGGCTCCAATGAGGTGGACCAGATAGCAAAAATCCATGATATCATGGGAACACCTGATCAGTCTGTGCTCAACAAGCTTAGGAAGTAAGTATGCTGTAGAAACACTTTCATTTCAGATTTTTTGTCTTTTAATACCAGTGTTATTTTGTTTCACTTTTCTTTGATAAAGGTATAGCAGTTTTCAGGTTCTTGTTATTGTGAATGGTAGAATATGTGTATTTTGCAAATGCAAAGTTTCAACGTTCTTTTGATGTAGCAAAACAAGAGGGATGAACTTCAATTTCCCCCCGAAGAAAGGCTCAGGGATAAACAAGCTGCTTCCGCATGCCTCGCCCGAGTCCATAGACTTGATATACCAGATGTGCACATACGACCCTGACGAGAGAATAACAGCCAAGCAGGCACTCAGGCATCCATATTTCAAGGATATGAGGTACGCATCTTCTGAGAGGCTTTTTGATACCTGCTACAGTAATACCCAGTATTTGGCTTTAAATAATTATGGTATTTTAACAGCTTAAGCTTGGAACCAATTTAGATAGATATGTGTGTGCATCAAGTCAGTCCCTAAAATTCATCACTATTCTCCAAAACACAAGTCATGATATCCAATTTGTTCATCAATCACACAGTACCATAATAGGATAGTTACACTGCTGCAGGGTGAAAACTCCTGCTAAAGTCACAGGAGGATATCGGACGCTAGTGACACATTAACACGAGGATGCGTTCTGAAGAGAACCTTGATCATAGCAATTTATCCCAGATGCAAGAACAGCTTAACAGATAAAGCAGTGTCAGCTTGGGATTCATTGCTTCAGTTGTCTGTCAGACATGTTCCTTTTAACAAGAACAGAATATATCCACCCACATTACACAGTGTGCTGAGTCAATTATTAACAGCATGGTGCATTAGTGCTCCTGAGAAATGTCCCCTCGTGAGTGAGAATGGTACACCTGGCTGATATTGTTTTATAAGCTGGGGCTTTCCTAATGCTTTTGTGGAAAGGAAAGATATTTCAGAATCTGTAAATGTCTCAAATGTGTAAATGTCCAGTTTAGATTTCCACGTTCAACATTAGGTACATGTAGGACTTAAGTTATCTTTCATCTTCCTGACTGCCAAATTCATTGAAAGTCATATCTAATGAAAGTGGTTGATATTTGTGATGAGGTACTAATGTAATATTCTGCCACTGTAAAAGATTATTACTTGGTCTTATAATTGACAAAAACACTTCTTATTTATCCCCTTCCTTCATCTTCATGATCTGCCATTGGCACACTAGAGAAAGAAGAACAGCCATTGTCTTATAACAAAAAGACAACGAGACAGTTGGAGTCCATTTTTCTTAGTAAGGAAATAGCCATTTGCAGGGGGCAGTATATTGTATCTATGTGGAAGAAGTAGAAATTGTACTTGAGATTCACTGCAAAAGTGGTTCACTATCTTAAATTGTATGAGTAATACAATGTAGGTCATACATTTCCAAAGACAGCTTGTGGTGCATAAAACATGTAAGGTAGACATAAAATAAGCTGATCATTCATTAGAAGATCAGTCAGTGAAGGGAAAATGAATAAGGCAGATAAACAAAACCTGTATAGGGATGTCCTATCTAGTAACTCATCCATCATGATAACCCAGGCCATTTGTCTACCCAGCATTTCAACATTACATAGACCATTTCCCTGCATATATCAAATGGTTCTTCACTGCCCTTTTCTGAGACCCTAGCTTTTTCATTCCTAATTAATGTTCAAAGTATAACTATGGCCCTTGGTATTCACTGTCCCATTCATCTCAGACTAACAGCATATTTGTGGAAAAATCTAGATATAATTTTCCAAATCAATTTAAAAAAGATGTGGAGATAAACAGGTGCACATTTTGTATACACTGTATTTGGCAGGGGTCATAAAAATGACTGCCTGGTATATGTATCTACAAAACTTTCAAGAGACAGATAAAAGGTTCCAGCTCCTTTTGTTATAAGAATCTAGTGTCTTAGGTAATGCCATTTGAAAGAGTTGACTATTGAGTTAGTACCTTGATGATACCATTGACCTGAAGGGATATATGCTGTCTTAGTGGCTTTTTGATCTTATAATTAGATGTATATGCCAAGATGACAAGTACACACACAGACATACACAGACACATGCATGGAAAAGAAGCTGGCAGGATCATCCTGTGTTAACAAGTCTCCCAGCCTGGGGCAAATGCATATTAATGAGATAAAAGGAAGAGTCATGCGCCACATCTAGGGACTGAGAGGCATTTCAAACAAGTCAGCCGTAATGCTGCGGAGACTCCCTCGCTACCAATCAGAGGCATGAATAGGCTGACAGGAAGTAATAAACGCTGAGGCAGATGTGAGGGCAGATGTTACAGTCTGTTGGCTGGCTGGTGGGGACTTGTTCGGAGGAACATTCCGGAGTGCATAAGAGCTAGACACTGACGTAGATTTGCATACGGGCAAAGACATTTAGCATTTCAGCTCTTGTCACAAACAACGCGATGGCCAAACCGATTAACCTGGTCTTCTGTGTAAGCAGACAAGAAATGTAAGTGGAAAGACATTTAAGATATATTTTCATTGTATTACCGTTAAGCTATGTTCACTGATGTTTGGGAGGTTTTTGTTGTTCATCCAGTAAATTTCTAACTTAGGCAAATCTGATGTTTTGTGTGGCTTTTAGCATAAAAGATGTTTCAAATAGTGGTATTAGCAATATTTTAGTGTTTCCACCTGTCGCATGATTGACAGTAAGGATACACACATCAGTTTCATTGGTGTATCAACGGCACATTCAAAGGAGAACATTCAGAGATCTCCAGGACTCATTGATAGACAAATTACTAAAATCATGTCTTTCCACACAGTTCTTTTCAACTTATCAGCTGGCTAAATCCTGCTTGCTGCCATTTTGTCAGAAATTTCATGTCAATGCATAGTCAGCTCACAGCAGAATTTCCCTGTTTTCATCATTTTTATAAAGCTATGGTGACAGAGTGTAGTAGAGTATCACTTGTGCTCAGGAAGAAATGACAAGTTTGGGCCCTCTAGCAGCTTACTTTGAAACTGCAGGGACATTTCAGTTGCAGATTTTGAAACAGGATAAGTCAAGAAGGGATTAATGAATGTTCATTTTCAACATGAAGGTAACTTTGGTGATTGAAGGCCAACATGATTGGTTAGCATATGCAACTTAGGATTTCATTTGCGTACTTATTGTGGAAATGTATAATTCAATAGGTTAAATGACAGGAACTTCAAAGGTGTCATGCTTTGCTTCAGTATGAGATCGAGTATTTACATGTAGTCATTTGTAGAACAGTAGTCCAGAACAAAATCTTGGCTTTGAAGAGTATTCAATTATTTTTGGTGAGGTTCATGCATCAGGTGTCATTATAAACACACTCTGAGGCACTATGACGTACGAAGTCTGCATCTGTAATTATATTCCCCAGTGGGCCAATTATCCTTCTACTTACAGTGTGTTCACCATGATTTCTTGTGATCTATTGGGCATGGACTTTCTGAAATCCACTAAGAGATATAATTGTACAAATTACCATGATGTCAAATGAAATCCTGATATTTCTCTATTGGCATAGATTACACACAAAACGCATTTGGGGATGGATTAGTAGTACGATAACAGTAGGATAGATTTTAATATCATGTGTTTTCAAACTTGGACCAAGTTATAATTTCATCAGTTGGTACAGCTATATGATGTACATTTAGGTCTGACTCTAAGTGAACCTATTTTCAGTACTGTAGGTGCATTTGATTTGGATATTTAACACTGATCATGATGACAAAAGGTGGCATATGTATGAACACATTCAGAACACATCTAGTGCATGTAGTACCTACGTAATGCTGCTTTCAAGCAGAGAAGACAGAAATCCTCTGGGATCTCCTGAGCTGCAGTCAGATTATGTCCTACCAAATTATTGGGTTTTGCCCTTCTAACCCTACAGTAACTTTTCCTTTAGAGGTGTCCCAACTAGAGGATGTGATGACTAGATTATCGGCCGTGGAACAGCACTGATCTCAACAAGCCCGGTATTCAGGCCACATCAGGATTTAAAGACCTAGTTTAAGCCCTAGGAGACTAACATCTTCAGAAGAAATGAAATGGGGATCAGCTGTGGAAGGAGAAAAGGTCATGATGATTAGTATGGAAATGTGGGAATTAGACATAAAACCCAAGGTTTCCTACTCAAGTCTTGGTACCAATTATGCATCCCTGTTTCTGCATGCCTAACCCTACATTTACTGCCAAAGGTTGGACACTTGAGGAAGGTGAAGGAAGCACAGGGAGTAGAGAGATGTAGAGAGATTGTCAGACATAAAGGCTCCATCCCAGTTACTCACAATTCCTGCCATTCTGGAAACTCAAACCTCAAGGCCTCAGGCAGAAATATTATCAAAAGAAGCTACTCATTGTGCATATGTCAAATGTAAAAAAAAAAGTAAAGATCATCGAGGGGATGTTTCATGTTAGTATTCCTAGCTGTTCATCTGCACTCAATGTAGGTTTCCCTATAACTTAGAGCATGCACTCCGCTGCTTGCATGAATAATGCTGTGAAGTTTAATGCATAATAATTGTCATTTCTGGCCCTGTAGGGAAGCTGAGAAGAGACAAGCAGCCCTGCAGAAGGTGGAAAACCGTGCCAAGAACGCGGACAAGGCAGGCGGCGACAGACCGGGGTCTGGTAGAACAGAAATCTCTAGAATTTCAGACACGACAACCAGAACGGAACAGCTCGCTCAGCAGCGAAGACGGGTCAGTTACCGCCATCTTCCAAACCTTATGGCAAGTTATATAAACCCCACCGCAGGGCCTCATCAGTATTCACCACTAACATGTATTTGCATGCTCTCTAACGGCCTGGATGGACTGTGAAGTATGCGACATTGTTTTGCTGACCTAGGAGTTGGTTCACTGGATATTGGAACATTTGATGTTTTAAAAATTCCAGCCATTGCAACCATTAACTGATCATACTAAGGATATATTACTTTATATTATCAATCTTATTTCATATACATATAATTGATGTTAATTTTTGAAGGGAACAACTTGATATTGCCACTCTGATCTTGGTTGAAAACAACATAACTGACGTTACATTAATCCTCTTAATGCTTTTTCTTCCATATTGAGAAGGCAACTTTTGCACTTAACCAGTATCTCTTCCATGTGTTTTTAAACAACACTAAGATGAATTGGTCTCTAATTGACCCCTAACCAGATTGTAATGTGGTTGAAGCCTATTTTCAGAAAAGCCAACACTTTTTTCTGCTTTACTGATTCACCACCCCATTTCCTTACAGAGGAGAAACAGAAGACTAGAAGCCCAGCAGGCTAACCACCAGACAGGCTTCATGTTACCAAAAGTCCCCCAGAGTAACGCCCTGTCCATCCATAGTACAACCTTCCCAAACAGTTCCTTCCCCACCCACTCCATCGTTCCCAAACTGCCAGTCCCTGGTGCCACCTCTACATCCACCTCCACCATGCTCCCTGCCATCATGAGCTCCCATCCCCAGCAGAAGGCCAGGAAACCCAAGGTGAGCTCTCAGCATGCCAACTAGCTTTACCTTTCCTGTTTCTCCATTCCTGACCAAATGTGGTTATGTTCTGTCTTTCCATCTATTGGGGGGCCAACTATGAATCAGAGAATGTCATATCTTATACTTATACAGCATGTAACAGTAATTGCCTGCATGAATGCTCCAGGTGACATGTCATGTTGCATCAGTTGTTGGCCTGAGCCCAATGAAAGAGCATCAAAAGATCTGAGCTGAAAAGGAAATGACATCAAAGATCACCAGCTTAATAAGCTATTTTGTATTAGGAGACATTCAGCTAAAACATAGTCACGTCACTCACGCACATGTATATGGTAAGAGGACATCATTCCATTTTCAGGAGCACAAGCAATTAAGGATAAATGTGTGAATATAAGTCTGAATGTGGGACTTACCTAAAACTGCTATGTTGATCCACTATTTTGTTTGGTTCTCTGCACAACCACCAGTTTTGCTGGACCCTTCTTTGTGCCTTTGCAGAATCACCAGCTGCCTACCAAGAATGTGTTTGGTCACTATCAGCTGCCCTCTATTGACCGGCGGGGAGCAGGCTTCTGATCAGGACATCATTACTAGCAGGGTGGGAGGATCAGTCTTACAGGCATGGTACCAAGACCATGACTGGACCGCCAGGAACTTTCCTTTTACCATTCCTGATGTTAATGATACCATAGAATGTCCAAGGATGCTCTTGTTCTTAGTGACATAGACTAAATCCGGGAGGACATTGTCACTGTTTTATCAGTTGTTGTGTTCTACAACTGAAATATTTTAGATGGATTTCATTTTATATCTTTTAATCAAGTCTTATATGGAGGGTCACATTGTTTTTTGCCTCTGATCATGTAAAGAGGATACAAGAAACTTTTACCCTGTTGTCATTGTTCTGCTCAGATTGTCTCAATGTCTAATTTTGAACTGGAATTTTTTAAAAATCTGTTTGCTTCCGTCCTTTTACTTTGAATATTTGGGGAGGTGGATTTCTCTGTAGTTTGGATTGTTTTTGGTCCAAAATATCATTTCTTGGTACGGAACCTGATTTGGGCAACCAAGTGTGACGAGGGTCAGGAATTTTATTTGAATGAGTTTAAAAAGTAACATATCAAATAGCAGTTCATGTTATGCTGCTTGATGTTGGTCAGGTCAATTGTATCAATTGTACAGGTTTTTGAAGAAGAAGAAATTTTGACTGCTGCATTTTTTAATGTACAGAGATTGGAACAATTGAAGTCAGTATATACTCTGCAGGGCTGACCATAGTGAATGGAAGGACATATTGTACATATAGATAGAGCCTGTAAAATGTTGCGGGCAATGTACATGTATCTACTATATTTTAGATATAAAGTATTGTCTTTAAAGAAAGTGCCATTGTGAGGAATTTGCTGTGAGGTATTTTGAATTTTGTACATGGGTTGATCAATGATAAATACTCAAGAGCAGAAAACGTAAATGTAAATATGCTGTGTTTTTTGGAGATGTATATTTTGGCATGTATTTTTATGGCTAGGGGATACTCACATTTATAGCCATCATAGTCAAGTCAGAGTAAGCTGAATCTTGATGCATGTGAAATGGTTTATGAATGTATGTTATGAACCATAATTGCCAGTGTGCAAACATTATTACTGCGGAGGTGCCTGCCCACAGCTTGTATGCAGAGTCATGAAAAATCCTAATGTGTGCACAGTGCCACCTAGCATATCTCAATATCAGCACAGGTACTTTTAGCATTTAAGTTTTCAATTCTGGTTGCCAGGCACACAATACAATACACTTTCTTCCAAAATCAAACACTTTCACAACAAGTATACATTGATCTCTCTGCTGTCACATTTATATGATGTAATGATGGCTGTCACGTATGCCAAAAAGGCTTCCCAACCAAGCAAGGTAGCCTGGAAAGTAGTGTGATATGTCAGATTCCATACTTCAAAAATATCTGAAATACATATATCTTTTAATTCTTTTTTTTTTCTCCACTAGTTATGTCAATTTGGCGAGAAATGCTTAATTGATGTATACAGAGCACATATGTAAGTTAATGGTAATAATACTTTTCTGTGACAAATATCTGCCGTTCTGACAGCATTCACAAGGTGGCCTCCATAAAGTTACAACCTGTCTTCTATCATTTCTTTCACTGGTGCCTGATGTTCAAAGGGTGCTAGCTGCCAATTTTCCTGTGTTCAACTGTCAAGTACTGCTAGTTTTTGTAGGATTCTGTAAATGATGCTGGATACAATCAATGAAATAGCTTTGTAATTTGTGATAATGTTTATAATTGTGTGACGATTCTTTTGGGACAAATGGACAGGAAGTAAATGTTGTTGACATTGTATGTCAACCTAACAGTGTGAAATGTGGCTCCTGTTTTATTATTGAATTTCCTGTGTCTTTCTTTCTTAAAGTTTCCACAGCACACAACAGTACAATACAATAAACACTCTAGGGCATGTCTGAATGCACCAAATGAACCAGAACTTTTCTAGGATTTGGCCTATATTGGTATGCTCAATCTGAATCTTCTAGAAGTGTAGTTTATTCACTTACTCCATTCAAACTATACACCTGTTTGGAAAACTAGGACGAGACAGATATCTAGCAAAACAGATCAACCTTTTGTGGAAAAATTATTCATTTATTGCTTGATCAAATTTACAAACTTTAAGTTGATTTAAGAAAATAAATATTTTCTTATTAAAAATTTGACAATAAAATTGAGAGTAATATGCAACATAGCTGCCACATTACTCTCAAATTGCACTAATCACCAGATAAGTTTGAGCCCTTAATGTCAATCTTCTACACACTAACAATGTCATTGTCCTATTGTGATGGTCATTATCAACAATCAGTCAAATTTTTCAATACAAAAGAGCAATTTAAATGAGGATTTATAACTATAGAGCAGTAGACCTTGGGCAGGGGTCATTTATGATTTTAGAAGAAAACCTTATTTGCACCAGGATTCATTCAAGATTTTTTCCCTGTTTCTTCGTTGGGGGGAGAGTACTTTCTGAAACTTTAACAGGGATTGTAGGTATTTCAAAAGTGGTCCATGAATCTGGTCGTTTTTGTTCTACCATAACAGTAGATTAACTGATGGTGTGATTATGTCTCAATAGGGACAAAGAGGATTAAGTAAGTAACAGTTAAGTAAGTAAAATTAACTAATACAAATGTATGAGCTGTTACTAGTGTTTCTAAGAGCTGCCAAGGAACTCCTTGAGGATTCCTGGCACCTCTGGTTCCTGGTAATCCTTGACAATGAAGTTCTTGCCATCATGTGCCCCTCGAATCATGGCTGACAAACCTGGAAGATGATGCAAGGAATGAGGGCTGAACATAAATCTAGCCCAGCAGAATGTTTTTATTTGACCATGTTTGTAGGGACACTGTACTAGTAACCCTTAATTCTGTATAAAACTTTTTAAAAACCCGTATTTAATATGTAAATATGTTTTAATCATGTCTCTATCCGAAATATCCCGGCACAATTCAGCTGTTTTGGCTACAACGTTTGTGACAATGTTATTGAAATAAACCACTGATATATAAATGGGCATAAATATGCTCCTTTCCTCCTCAGATACACATGTATAAACTTCATCATTTTTATGACAACTGAAGCTTTGAAATTCACATATAAATTCTACAAATACCCTGTCAAGATTACACGCTCATACTAGTCATAGTTGGACACCAGACACTGGCATTGGACACTTACAGGTTTAACATCACTACTGGGCTACCATCAAACACAGGACTAGAACTGCTGCCTTTTTACACATTCAGTTGCATGTACATGACTATTTGGCTGGGTAGAGCCTTGTCCCTTGTGTAACTGTGAGAAAAAAAGCAGCATAAGGAAACAGACTTACCTTTGCCATCAGCAGGCCTGTATAGACAGAGGATCCTTTTGTTCCAGCCCACTGCCTTCCCAATCTCATATCCAACTCCAAGTGATGGCTGGGTCACCTCAGCAACCACAACTACAATCATACATTTGTACCATCAAAACTGGTGGGCCTTTTTAACAATGCTGAAACTAAGTTGGTTTGCACCACTGACAGTATTATTTCTATCCTATATAACATTGGGTAATATAATAGATATAACTTTTATTACTTTTTTAATTCCAATTACTTTTAATTTTTTAATTTAATTACTTTTTTAATTCCAACCTCTAAGAAAGATGACACTCTTTATTTCTCAGATGATAGACATAACGTTACATGTAGCTAATGTCAGAAATGTGCAGAGATGGCTAAGTAATTAACAAGGAACCAGTTCCTACCATCTGACTCCTGCAGCCACGCCATGTCCTGTGTGTGTATGGCCACATCGTTACCTAGAGAATTGAGCGACAACCTTTAGAATTTATTATGTATGGGAGTTACACTAGCATTGGGCTGGAATAAAAACAGTAGCCATGCATTGCTTTGTGTTATGATGACGAAAGCTGTTATGTGCCAACATTATAAAAAAACCAAATAAAGATTTTTATAATATGTAGTTACCTTCAATGTGTTTGAGAACAGGTTCTTTAAACCCCACATGTTCAGTCAGGACAGTGCCATAGGCCTTCAGCTGTTCAATGATCCTGGCATACAGTTCTGCATCACATCGACCTCCACGGATACTGCCACAGAAGTAAATCTTCATAGTGTGTGATGGGTGCTGAAAATAGACAAGATTATTTATATAACGTTAGGTTTTACTTTCTGATTTGTTAGATTCTTTAGTTAAGAGTTTCTGGTGGTGGCAATTTGATAATAACGTTACTGCCTGTTAGCATGGAGGTAGAAAAACAACATGCTGTTAGTATCTGTCCAATTTCCAGGTTTTCCTTAAGTTGTACTGCTGTGGGGTGTGGGGAAGGGGAGGGGGGTCGATCCCAGTCAGGGGTCAGACGGTCATGACTTAGATACAAGGTAACTAAAGCAGTTCCTGAGCCACAATACATCACTAATTAAGAGTTACTAACGTTCAGAGAGGACGTTGATGCTGGTAATCCGGAGAGCCACACCTTTGGTACATCATTTATAAGGAACCCAATTTCATTTATAAGCTCTCTAAACAAGAAAGGTACAACCTGTGTATAATAACTAAAAGTGGGCGCTAGCCCACACCCATCCCTTCCAATGACAAGTAAATGAAGGCAACTGAACGCCTGTACTGTGATATTATTAAATGTGGGCACAATTTGGATAATGTCTCCTAAACTGCATGCATACCCTGTAACGTTAGCTAGATCCCGCCAAGACAAGAAGAGCACACTTCATGAACTCGCGACTTCCCACTAGAATGCTTTGTTTCTGCAAGCAGACTTGATTCTCAACCAAGATAGAGAGACTGACAAACTTAAGTTACACTTGGTATAACAAACTCTGATTCCGATGGATGAAATCGTGGTAATAACGTGTTACCTCGCGTTACGTTGGTCCTCTGACTTATTGGTCAACTAGTTTCCCGCCAATTGTACGACCTTTTCAACTTTGACCCGGCCTCGGATATAAACTGACGCCCTCTTCCGACATGTCGTGGAACAACAAAACCAACAACATTGGTTGGTGGAATAGTATTAAAGTTTCAAGGTCAGTAGACGGCCAAGATAAAGAATAACAGCCGTATATGTATATGTGCCTGGTTCTCGATATGCGTGTGTAACTGTTACATAGACTTGGTTGTGATTATGGCATAATTTTTGTTGATTATTGTATAACGTTATGACTTCAGGCATCGTCTAAACTTTGATGATCTCAAGATAAAAGGTTTCTTTAATTAAGATTTAAGGAGCAAAAATGTAAACATCATGGTGACCTTTAATTAAGTAAGCAGGTTGACTTTAAGCATACAAACTTTTCCTTTTCCAGCCCGACTAATCAATTTTCTGTTATTAGTGTCACGTCCAAGTGTGTCTGGCATTACTCCATTTTCCAATAGTCAATGCTGCTTCGTCGCGGGACACACAAGACCTTCTGTCTCTCGGCAATTGTCCGTGCTTGGCGCGGTAGCTAAGGTGTCTCGACCCCAGAATTGTTATGTTGTTTTCTGCGTTGCTTTGGAAATTCAAAGCTCCATATATCAATGTGTGCGGCCTCAGGCACACTGTCCTCGTCAAGTTCTGTAAGTGATACACGTGTGCGATTCCGCAGAACGAATGGATTGAGCTCTGCTGACTAATTTGTTTTGCGGTTGCTGCTGAGTTTGAATTTGGATTTTCTGCAGCGGAGAGAAGACAGTCATAATATCGCTGTCAGCTGTAGTTAGTGACGCCTTTGATTGCCAGATATCTTTATCTGAGCCTGGATCTGCTTTTGTACCATCACAAGCGGCACCCCATGCCACGGGACCTCCCAATCTGCAGAAGCTTCAACTGGAGATCTCTTGCACTGTTTCCATCAGTTGCCTTGCCACTCCCGTTAAGAGACATCTTCACGATTCGTCAGAGATCGCACACTTCAAAGACCTCAGTTTTACGAAGACAGTGCTGGCAGGGGTCGTCAGTTGGCAGCGGTACAAGTTTGGAGACTTTCTACTGAACAGACTTGACAATCGAGCCGAAACGCCTATTCAGGAAGTCCCAGAAGTCCTTACTGTTCATTGACTTGTCCCGTCTCAGGACAGTCCTGCCCGTGACTCTGAGTAGACATGCCGGGACAGGAAGGGCAGCGGCTTTCATCGATCTGAGCATTGCAGTTATTTACGGTAAGTGCTTGATCTTCCCTGTTGCCGCTTAACTTGAGTCATGAACTAAGAAAGAGGTAAGCACTGACCAAGGAGGTTCATTGACCAACACAGATATATTCAAACCAGCTGGATTGGTACCGGTGGAAACAACCGATTGTGTGGTGAAGTTAAGTCGCCTGTCGGTGATGGTAATAGCCATCAGATAGGCACCGTTAACAGACAGGTCTGTTATCATAGGACCAGGCATTCATCTTTGTGAGTACTGTCACAATGATTCATCTTCTTTAAAAGGACTGTCACAATAAGGCAGAGTCTCCTTTAACTTAGGAACAGTTTTCAAGCTGTAGGTAGCTGCCCCGGCGATCCCAACGTGTTAGTCATTTCAGCCCTCCGGAAAATTCAAGGGAAATAAGCCATTTCTGGTGCCCAACATGTGCACAGCAGGTAGAGCCAACATTACAACTTGTTAAAGCCTGCCAGGAACCCGAAACATGCGAAAGGTCGTGTAGTTTTCCGGTGCTGATCGGCGACCCGAGACACAACAGGCACAGTGGTGTATGCCCTAGGGGTAAGGCCAGACCTGGGAGCGGTAGTTGTGTATTTGTACGCCCTTGACATGCTTGAAATCCCCACCATTAGATCCATAACTGCCAAAACAGATGAACTTCGAGTGTAAATTACGTTTCAGATCCAACTGCAAGTTAACATA